AAACAAAAAAGCCGTTAACACAATGTGATACCTTCCTGGTCAGGCTAGGGTGTTGTCCTGGTGGCAGCAAACTTCAGTAACAAATAGGACTCTTAGAAACACAAACTGTCAAACTCTTTTCTTTTAAGTAATTACAACATACTGGTTTGAATTTAGAGCATGTAAAACATTGGATTAATTGTCTTCAGTGGTATCTGGTCATCAATGTCATATTATGGCACAGTGTTTCGGGAGAGTACACTTAACATTCTTTTTTAAAAATTTATTTTTATTTTGTGTGCATTGGTGTTTTTTTGCCTGTGTGCATGTCTGTGTGAAGGTGTCAGATCCCCTGGAACTGGAGTTACAGACAGTTGTGTGCTGCCATGTGGGTGCTGGGAATTGAACCCAGGTCCTCTGGAAGAGCAGCCAGTGCTTCTAACCGCTGAGCCATCTCCCAGGCCCTTAATATTCTTAAACATGTGCTCCTTACATCTTATTCCGGAACTTACTGCACACAGTCACTGCCTCGGGAGCTGCACACCTCTCCTAATCTAATGTGGCACAGAGTGGTTAATCAGTAACGAAACTTGAATTCTGAGTTTAAGTTGTCAGGGAAGAGCCGTTCCTTCTTCAGGGTAGAGTAGAGTGCACCAGCTCATGTCAGTTTATCTATTTTTCTAATACCTGCTTAGAAACAAAGGAGGGTAAATAACCGAACTAAGAACTTAGCCAATCTCAAAACGACCCAGGGCCAAGCTGGGAAGAGATAAAGACATGGATGGTCTACCTCAAAGTGGGAGCCGGATGATCACATAGTTCTCCTGTATTCCAGGCTGGTGCCGAGGATTCCCTGGGAATTATTTTGATTAATCCTCACAATAACCCTAATGAAATGAGTCACTCTAATCTCCATTTGATAAGTAAGAAAAATGAGGCCCAACTTCACACACACACACACACACACACACACATACACACACACACGCACACAAATGGGGAACTAGAATTGGAACGCAGTCCAGAAGCCAGTCTGCTTTTAATCACACGCCCGGGATAAGCAATGGAAACGCCCCTGGGGCCAAGCAAGTGAAGAGGAGGATGTTTGAAGTGGCTTAGCTTTAAGGTTAGAGAGTCAGGGCTCCTAACCATGGCTGCCTGTGCAATCACCTAGGGAGCCTTAAAGACTGTTGGTTGAAGCCTGGGTTCCACCCCCCATCCCCCCTCAGCCCCCCCCCCCCCAGATGTGATCTAATTGATGTGGCAGCTGCAAGGTGCTCCAAACAGGCAGTGTAGCCAGAGGCAGGCTGCTTGCAGAACAGTGTGGCAGGCGGCTCATCTGACAGCAGCAAGAGGAAACTTAGAAATGTTAACTAAACTGTGCACGGAACAAAGGTTGCTACTACCTCTGCTACTAGTTTGTGATCCCCGCCCCGTTCTTTGGTATAGTTAAGGTACTAATATGAGAACTAGATACATCGATGATTGATAGACACATAGATTGTAGATAGATGATAGATGAATGATAGGTGATAGATGATAGATAGATAGATAGATAGATAGATAGATAGATAGATAGATAGATAGATGATACATACATACATGCATACATAGATGCAGAAGATAGTGTCATGGATTTTTGTGGAGATGGTCATCTGGTCTCTGAGCCTTTCCATGTCATTCTCCAGTTCCAATTATAGGTCTATTATACAAAATAGTAATCTCTGTCCAAAGGACCCTGGAGTACACCCTGTTCTTCAAATGAAGATATCTCAACTGTGCTCACTTAACAAATGCGTACCATTTGATAAACACTTGCTTCGACTTTGTCAAGAGTCATGTTTTAAAAGAAGACCACTCAAAATTAACTCTGACCTTTATCCAAGCCAAATAAAGCGATCTCACTGAACTAAAGAGGTCTAAAGGAACAAAGGTGGGAGGGAGGGAGGGAGGGAGGGAGGGAGGGAGGGAGGGAGGGAGGGAGGGAGGGAGGGTATCGGGAGATGGCCCAGTCAGTAAAGTCCCTGTTGTGATGCCTGGAGACCTACCTTTTGCTCTGTAACCCACTGACTGTGGAGGAGAGACAAGCAGCTATCTCCAGCCAATCAGCCTAGCTGAGTCAGTAAGCATCAGGTTCAGAGAAAGACCCCATCTCAGGAAGTAAGGGTGGATGAAGAGTAAATGAGAAAAGGCACCTGGTATCAACTGTGGCCTCCACGCTCATGCACACCTACACATAGACATACACACCCAAACCAAAAAAGGATAGAGTGAGGTACTCTGAACTTGTGTATGAAGGTAAGATGTAGCACCACTAGATAAAATGACATTTGTCCTGGAGAGGGGAGAACAAAAGCTACATGCCACCAGAAAATGCTCACTACTAAACAGCCTGCAGAGGTGACAATGGATGTTGCTAAAGGCAAGTCTGAAGCCTCTTCTGAAAAAAACAGAAACTCCAGCCAGCTTGTGAACTAATTTCTTCCTACACAATCATTGCAACTGTTGCGCTGCCCGCCAAAAGGAAATAGCAAAAAGCATCTATTAAGAAAGATTTCAGTTGGGTGGTGGTGGTGGTGGCGGCGGCGGCGGCGGCGGCGGCGGCGGCGGCGGCGGCAGCAGCAGCAGCAGCAGCAGCAGCGCACGCCTATAATCCCAGCATTCAGGAGGCAGAGGCAGGCAGATCTCTGTGAGTTCGAGGCCAGCCTAGTCTACAGAGGGAGATCCAGGAAAGGCGCCAAAACTACACAGAGAAAATGGTCTCGAAAAAAAAACCATAATCAATTAAAAAACAAATAAATAGACAAATGAATAAATATTTCAGGGGCTGGATGCACAGCTCAGCCAGTCATTCGCTTGCTTGCTGTGCGAGCTGATGACCTCAGTTTGGATCCCTCTGACCCATGTAAAAACCCAGGTATGGTGGTGTATGCCTGCACTCTGAGTGCTGGGGGCTGAAGACAGGATCCATGGAGCTCAATGGCCAGACAGTCTGGCTGTCTCAAGAAATAAGGTGGAGAGTGAAAAACAAATACACTGGACATCACTCTCCGGCCTCCACACAGGAGCATACATATTGGCTAGTGCACACACACACACACACACACACACACACACACACACACATCTTAGGTGCTAGCTGGCTGGTCAATCTAGCCAAAACAGGTATTCAACTTTCAGTAAGAGACCCTGTATCAGAAAAATAAAGTAGAGACTCGATCAAGGATGACTTCCTAGTATCAACCTCTGGCCCTCACATGTGCAAACGGCACATCCACACATTCACACCCACACTGAAGCTCATGGGGAATCAACTCATACTTTCTAAGTAAATAAACTAAGTATCCACCCTTCTCATACCAACAACTCACGGGTAAATTCCCACATATACTTTTTTTTTTTTTTTTTTTTTTTTTTTTTTATCTAAGAGACTGTCAAAACAGGCTTTCCTTTTAAAAAAAAGCCCAGCCACATATTTTCATTGCCTGGGGCAGTGCAGTTTGAAGAAGCTAAAAATACTTTCTTTTCTTCTAAGTTTGGAAGAACAAATCAGACCAAGCAAATAGCTGCATATCATTTTCTCCTATCTGAAAAGTCTTACTAGAAAACGCTCTGTATAGCTGGATCAAGGCAAAAGCATCTGTTTTATATTTGTATCCACATCCCCTGTTAGGAACACCCCTTCAGCTTACATGCGCCCAGGAAGATTCAGTAAGCCATATCTGCATTATCAACAAGGACGGCTGTGGTATGACTGTTTAGATAGGGCTTTTTATTTCTTGCTTCCTTTGTGTTGGAGAGAGAGTTTCGTGAGTGTTGAAAACAAACGAGCAGGACAGGTAAAAGCATTTATAAAAAACATATACAATGAGCTTATAAAAAACATATACAATGAGTGTGTCCTTAAGGGAACCACCAAGGGTTTACATGCACTCACTCACGAATCATTTGGGCCTTAGAAATTCATAGTCAATGTGATTTTTAAAACAGAAGGATACAAGCTTCGAACCTCTTGCACAAGTTGTGTCTTCTGTGGCTGGTAATGTGAAATCTTACGTTTCTTCTTTTTGACTTCCCAAAGCTAACTGTAAAACACGCATGTGCATTCATGCATATACACACACAGAGCTCTGTGATCAGCTAAAGGCAACCACAGGAAGACAAGCCTTTTAAAAAAACAATCATCTGGAGGATAATTAGTCAAGTAGTGTGGACTTTTCCATCACACCCCATATTTCTCAAATTACCTATTAAATCAGCATAATAATAACAAAACAAGCTAGCCAGTTCCATTCACCAGCCACGAATGTATAGCCTAATTTTTTTTTTTTTCTTGGAAAGGAGACCCAGTTAAGTGTCTGCATAATTCTCCATATCTACAAACCAGGGCATGCCTCTTGGGAAAGGGTTGGCAAATGTGGCAGGAGGGCTGTTTGCTTAGATTGCAGCTGGGCCTTTGACAAGTGCTTTGGGCAAAATATCCCGTATTGTATGTAACCCCCCAAAGCCATGGGCTGGTGCTGTGGATTTCAAAGATAACTCCTGCCAGGAAGAGGAAAACCGGGATGTTACCTCTCCACACACACTCAGAGCCAACAGCCCCGTGCTGCTGTGCCAGAAGGTCAACGGATGACACCTGCAAGGCCAACTGCACATCAAAACTACTTTTCCAGCCCCAGCACTAGCGCGGAGCGAAGTTGGCCGCGCGCGTCCCCTTCCCTGTACCTTGCAATTGGGCAGAGAGTGAGTCCTGGTGCTGCTGGTACTTGAGCGCCACCGCCTCGGCTTTGCGCAGCTGGGTCTGCAGTTCCAAGTAGAGCATCGCGCCATAGAGGAAGCCGAAGACCACCGTGAGAAGCAGCAGCGTCTGGAAGATCCGCTTCTGCTTTCGGGAGCACATCCCGTTTCCCATAGTCCCTCCTGCGCCCCGCGCTGCGGCGGCGGACGCCGTCGTGTCCTCGGGTCCTCGGCTGAGTCGGGCGGCTCAGCAGCGGCCACCGCGGGAAGCAGCCGGACGCGGCATGAGCAGAAAGACGCGAGACACAAAAGCCGTGGCCAGAGGGGAAGAGGCGGCCGCTCAGCCCCCGCGCGCGGCGGGGCGCCAGGCCATCGACGCCACCCGGGCAGCGGCCACCAAACTTCTGCGACGTCGGATCTCCGCGAGTGGCTGGGGCCCCGTGGGGTCCCTTTGCATACTTCAGAGCCCGCTGCCCTTGCTGCCGGTCTCCACGCGCGCCGACTGCCCGGCTTTCCTTCCTCCTCACTTTTTGGCCTCGCTGTCCCCACTGTCTGTCCCCGCCCCTCGCGCCGGCTCCCGCTGCTGGACTTTGTGGCTACGGCTGGTAGGGGACGCGCGCCCAACAAAGGGACCTGGCTCCCGGCGGCGTCCCAGCGCGCGGTCCACCTCGGATGGTGGAGAGATGGGGGACAGGCTGTTCTGATCGGGTAAGGGCGGGGGGAGACGGAGAGCCGGTGTCACTGATCTGGAGGCTCCAGTGGTCCGCCACCTCCCACCCAACTTACGTGTCACCCACGGCCCCGCTATCATGGCCAACGGGATTCCGGGAGGAAGTCTCACTCGGGCTCCCAGCTCATTGGGTCCCCTCAAGCCGCCGCTCCCTCCTTTCGGGGAGTCAATGCTGGGCTCCATTGGACGCCAGCTTTGTCTGTCCCGCCCCGGGCCGCGCCCTCCCTCTCAGCTCTGGGCAGGCCCTGGGCTCCGTGGGCCGCGCGGCCGCCTGGCGCCTGGGTGCGCCCACATGGAGCCCGGGTGGGTGGGAATAGGCGGAGGAGCTGGGCTGGGAGTGCTGGGGACTTGTCCTGGCCTGAGACTTGGTGATGATCATTGCGCACGTGTACGCATGTGTGTGCCGGCACTTGGAATGCACGTGGAGAAAGAGTACAGTGCTTACACACGCCTAGGACAGCAAAGCAGCAGGATGTGCACTCTGCTAAGTCCTGCTCAGTTCTTATCCTAGAGTGAGCTCAGATTGCAGACAGTGTGTTCTTTGCACAGAAGGCACAAATCTCTCAAGGGCTGCCTACTGAGTCTTCAGGGACACTAGCCTGAGTTCATAGATGGTAGGAAGCAAGCTGGTACCCCGAAGCTCACTTGACTGTCCACGTGGGGTGGGGAAATCACTTTGTTGGCAGAGGGAAAGAAATGATCTCATATGTTTCCTCTGGCTTCAAATGGAATAATTTAAAAACAAATCTTACAGGCTGAAATGAGTATGCATTCATTTTGCTATGTGTATTTCTCGTAATGGTGACAGAAATGCATCAGTTACAATTTAAAATTACATTTTCAGGGCCAACAAAAAAATCCTAACTAGAAAAGCTAGACAAGCATAATAACTCCAAACCACTTCAAAGAAATCCATGGTGCATTTGTTTCTCCCATCTAATGAGAGGGCGTGTGGAATTGAGGTTACACATAAATGATAATTTTGTTTCCCCTCTTGACCTGGAGTCTAAGGGAAATACATTATTTCTGAAAAGAATCAGTAGTGCAGTTGCACTTATTACATTCTGCATAATTTTTGTGATATCCTGACTGGGTTTTAGTCATCGCCATCAATTATGGGACAGAGAATGCTTAAGATGAAGGAAGATCTGCTTAAGCCAGGTTCATAAAGATAGTCCCTGTCCTGAATGTTTTTAGGTCAACTATGAAATCATCAGTTAACAAGAGCCACACAGGCAGGCTGGGGCATTTATCTCACTGTGAAAAATAAGCAGAATTGGTATATGCACTTAACTAATAAAAAGCACGTTACATTGTTCAAAATGCATACAGGGATACTTAGGGTATTCTATTCACATGTTGGAAACAAACCAAATTTGACCAAGATGACATAAATAGTTCTAGGACTATCTAGTTCTCATAAAAAGTAGTTACTCACAATAAGAGAATCTATCAGAATCTTACCCTTTCCACCTTTTTCTTCAAAAACCAAATCGTTACTCGATTTAAATATGTAGTCAAGAACTGTAGTCTGTTAAAATGTGAACCTATGCCAGGCCTGATGGTACAAGCCTGTAATCCCAGCTACTGGCGAGATCAGGGCAATAGGATTCCTAGGTCAGCCTGGACAATTTAGAGAGCTCTTGTTTCAAATCAAAAGTGAAAAAAATCCTAGGGATGGTAGCTTAGTGTTAGAACACTTACCTAGCACATAGTAGACACGACTTCAATCCCCAGTCCCAGAAAAGAAAAGAAAAAAAAAAAAAAAAAAAGACAAGAATGCCCAATTTAAAAAGAAAGCCGACTAAAGAAGCTTAGTTTTGTTCCATGGTGATGGTGTAACTCCCATGGTCACGAGTCTTATGGAATTTCCCACTGTTTAAGGTTTCCTCTTTCTGTTTTACTCACAGAAATTGGGAGTAATTAGTAGGATTCCTTTAGAATTCCTCAGAACTAAATTTGCTCATAAGCTGTCCAAAATCTCTGTGCAAACTTCTCTAAAGGAAATGAAATGTTCAGATTTTTTCAGCAATAATCTTAGCCTGTACTCGAATATGAGACGAATATGAGACTATTCTGGACACACCGACAGAGAGAGAGAGAGAGAGAGAGAGAGAGAGAGAGAGAGAGAGAGAGAGAGAGGGGAGAGGGAGAGAGAGGGAGAGAGAGGATTATACAGTAGAGAGGCATGGAAAGTCTGCTCACAAGTTACACAGCACATGGTATTCAATTGTATTTCCAACCTTTGGAAAATCTTGAGCTTCTTAAATTCATGATCACTCATTTTAAAACTCGGATTTCTTAACATCAGTTTCATTTCACTTTCTTAAGGTCTTCTTTGCCTAAAGCGGACAACTGATTCTATGGAATATAATAAATGAAGGCCATAAAACACAGCTCAATATTTTAGTCATAAAACTTGAAAGAGAAGAAAGTTATTACTTGAACTTATTCATTATTTCAAATTCAAGAAGGGTTTGCAGAAGAACATAAAATCACTAATGGCAGTGTCTTTATAATATTACATTTCCAAGGTGAACATTGCCTCTGGATTCTTGAATATACAAGTATAGTGCTTTTCAGCAGCTAACATGGGAGGCATCCAGGGCCTATAAATTAAATTTGCATAGCACTGCCTTTAGGTAGAGTTTATAATATATGAACTATTTACACTAGCCTTGGAAGATCTATTGTTAGTTCTATTTTATTTTGTTTCTTTAGTATTTTAAAGACCAACCCTTCATAATTAAATATCCATAGACAATATATTTCATAGCATATGCATATAATTTAGAAATTACAAATACTGAGGAATTTCCTCCATTTAGTATTTTGCTTCTAAGTCAGGAAAAAGACAACTAGAGCCTTACATCCTAGAAGAGTTAAGACAGCGTTTGAGAACATTAGATGTTCTCTACCTTAAATGAATGGTGTTCAGATATGTTTATGTTCCCAAGAGGGGACGTTAAGAAAAATAAATTTGAGAGAAGCAGGTGATGTATAATTTGCAATAATCTAATTATCATTAGTAATGTAGTCTGAGTAGTCTCCATTGCATGAAAACTTTTATTGAAATATCTTTCCTACAAATAGAACTCAATATGCTTTAACTTGTTGGAGAAACAAACACCACCCAAAAGGAGTGCTGAGTATTCAACTTTAAAATGGTGAGCTCAGGAGATGGGCTGTTGTTAGGGGATGCTTGTCTAGCATATGCAAACCTGGGGGCTCAACTTCCAGCATTTATGTTTCCTGGTTTAGTTGGAAACTTGACATCTGAGAGGAAAGCCGACTTCAGATTGATCTGGACAGGTTTGTGGAGGATTTTCTTTATTGCTAATTGATACAGGACAGCACAGCTCATAGGAAGTATAACATCCCTACAGAGATTGTCCTGTGTTAGACAGCTAGCTAAGCATGAACCAGTGGGCAAGTCAGCAAGCAGTGCCCCTTTATGGTATTTGCTTTAAGTTCTTACCCTTTTTTCTCTCAGTGATGGCCTATGGCCTGGAAGTATAAGCCCTTTCTTCCCCAGACATGTTTTTGGCTGGGATGCTTTATCACAGCAAGATAAAGGATCCTAGAACAGTAACTAAATAACTGGTAGCTGAATCAACAAAATGTAACATAGCTTTTAAGTGTCAATAACTCAGTTTGAACTGCATCATATAACAGTTACAGGAATAACTCTCCTCTCTTTCTTCCAAGAACTTTCACCCTGTGTCTTGTTGCTTTTTTGCGGCTCCACCCATTTGTTAACACCTGATTAGTACCTTCACCTCTTGTCTTGTCACCTTTAAGACCTGTTCTAGGAACAAGGGCATTCTGTCATTTTGACGGTTCCCTGAGAAATAGGCTGAAACTCCTTTTTCTCAAGGTTTTGTTAATGACCTGGAAATAACTGTCAGTACATTAACGAAACAAGAAGGTAAGCACGGGACTGGGGGCATAACTGAGTGGTTAATCCTGCTCAGCATGTCTTGGTGCCTTTTTTGGGCCTGTTTTCTGAATGGCTATCTTTGTAATTTTCGACTATGTGAGGAGTTAAAAGAGGGAAAAGAAGTAAATGGGTAATCAGTTCTCCTAAGTCAAGTCCTTTTCAGTAGCCAACTGGGTTGGCAGGATTGCTCAGTGGGTAAAGCACTTGTCATTTAGGCATTAGGTCCTGAGTTCTGATGTCCAGAACCTACTTAAAGACACTAGGATCAGTAGCACACATCTATAATTTCTGCACTCCTGCATTGAGTTGGGATGTGGAAACAGGAAGTACTCTAGCTCATAGGCTTACCCTGGCTTAGGCAGGTACAAAAAGGAGAGCCTGTTTCAAAAATGGTGAAAGGGGAGGACCTCCACTTAACGTTGTCCCCTGACCTCTTCATGTATAGTATGGAACCCACATGCATCTATCCAACCCCACCCCACCACACACAAAGAACATTGTGGAAGTAAAAAGCTAAACTCTACTACTATGACTAAGAACAGCTAGGAAATAGACAAGCAATGGTTTTTGTATCATAAGGTTTAACGGTTTCTTACTGAGTCCCTGACAATGCTCCTTGCCAGTTGGAAAGATGCTTGGGAACATTTCAAAGGCGGCTTGAGATGCACACTGCCAGGTTCAAGCCTCATTTAGTCACACATTATCTGCCACATCATGAGTAAGTCTGTAACGATTAAGACAATTAGTTCCAGGGTTTATAAAATAAAAAGAATATTCCCATGTGCACTGCAGAAGACCCACAGGGATCAAGATGGAAGCAAATAGTCAGACTGGAGATTGAACTAAAAGCTGTAATGGCATTTATCCACATCTAGATTGTCCTGGAAATCCATATTTGATATTTTGAAAATTAAGCTCAACTTGCCAATTAAAATGATAATGCTACCCCATAACTGAGCATCTTTTCTTCACTTGTGGAAGTGTGATTTCACAACAGAAGGATTTACATGGGACTTCTATTCATAAAAGCTGGA